AAGACGAACATAAATTCTTAAATTACAATTACTATTTTAAACACAAAACTTAAATTCACATTCACATTTCTCCATCTTAAATTAAACAGTATTTGAAATGTAAATACAGTAATAGCTAGTATTGATAATAAATAAAAATCAGGAATCTGTTGTCTTTCAGAGATTAGGATATCTGCCTTTTACGCAGGAGGTTTAATCTGTCAAATAAATTACACATAATTAGTATTATTACTTACAAACAATCAACAATATATATTTAGTGTACATAGACTGGATCAAAAAGCAGAACAGAAGTTACATCTTGTGTGAATTCATCATAGTGTGGCTTAAGTCTTTGTCCATTTACTTTCAAGATAGTCCCAGTTACTGGATTTTCAATTTTAATTGCCCCATAGTCGAAAACTTGCTCGACTATATACGGTCATGTCCATCTAGATCTTAGTTTTTCAGGGAACAAACGAAGTTTTGCATTATATTACAGAACTTTTTGAGATGGTTTAAAAGATTTTCGCACAATATTCTTGTCATGGAATATTTTGGTTCTGGATTTCGCAATTTTTGCATTTTCATAAGCTTCATTTCTTAGTTCTTCTAACTCATTGATTTGAAGTTTACGTGATATTCCAGCTTTATCCATATAAAAAATTCATCATTTTGATTGCCCAATAGGCTCTATGTTCTAATTCTGCTGGTAAATGACATGGTTTACCATAAACTAACCGATAAGGAGACATTCCTAGAATAGTCTTATATGCAGTACGGTAAGCCCAAAGTGCATCAGTCAATCTCAATGACCAATATTTATAATCTGGATTTACTATTTTTTTTAAAAATGTATTTTATCTCCCTATCAGCTAATTCAGCTTGGCCACTTGTTTGTGGATGATATGGAGTGGATATTTTATGTGAAATTGAGTATTTTTTCATAAGATTTTCAAAAACTTTATTACAAAAATGTAATCCACCATTACTAATGATTGTTCGAGGAATTTCAAATCTGGATAAAATATTTTCTTTTAAAAAATTGATCACTGTTATGTGATCGTTATTTCTACATGGAATTGCCTCTACCCATTTAGAAACATAGTCAACTGCAACCAAAATATACAAATATCCAAAGGATGGAGGAAATGGTCCCATAACATCGATGCCCCAACAATCAAAAATTTCGATGATTAAAATAAGGTTCAAAGGCATCATATTTTTTTTTTGAAATATTCCCCATTCTTTGACACCTGTTACCATTTAAACAAAAGATATGAATATTTTTAAAAGAGTTGGCCAATAAAATTCACATTGTAAAATTTTAATAGTAGTTTTCTTTGAAGTAAAATGACCTCCGCAAGCTTCAGAGTAACAAAACTGAGTTACCTGACGGATTTCATGATTAGGCACACAACGTCTTATTATTTGGTCCTTACAGTATTTAAACACATAAGAATCTTCCTAGAAAAAACTACGTACCTCACTTAGAAACTTATTTCTATCAGATCAGGTATAATTAGAAGGAATAGTACCAGTAGCTAGATAATTGACTATATCTGCATACCATGGTACTTCGGTTATTGCTAAAAGTTGTTCTTCTGGAAAGGTTTCTCTAATCGGAACTAGTTCCTCTTTTACTTCATAATTTAATCTTGACAAATGATCTGTTACCACATTCTCTACTCCTTTCTTATCTTTTATGATAAGATCAAATTCTTGAAGAAATAAAATCCATCGTAGGAGACATGGTTTAGCATCTTTCTTAGTAAGCAAATATTTTAAAGCTGCATGATCTGTAAATACTACAATTGACGATCCAACCAAATATGATCAAAATTTATCTAATGCAAACACAACAACAAGTAATTCTTTTTCTGTAGTTGAATAGTTCATTTGTACATCATTTAAAGTTTTGCTAGCATAGTAAATAACATATAGTTTTTTTATCTTTTCTTTGACCTAATATAGCTCCTACCGCATAGTCACTTGCATCACACATTAATTCGAAAGGTAAAGAACAATCAGGAGGTTGCATAATAGGTGCAGAGATAAGTTGTAATGAATACCCACACTCCTTGCTTGTATGTAGAAATGGAGCGTGAGTAGTCGTTTATATCCTCCAGTACGAGAGGAACATATGTATATTATTGTTTAGATTATGGAAATGCGGATGTCTTATTTATATTTTATTTATTTATGTATTTTATGCTTAATGCATGATATAGTGATGTGCATAATTTTGGTGCTGTGCCTTGAATTATGTCATCAGTGTATCATAAGACCCGTTGGTTAAACAACCACGGCGTTCCTATTGATATGGCTTGTCCTCCATCAGAATGCTGAGATTGTTCTACTGATGTGTGGTACAGAACCTAAACGATCCTCATGAATGATTTGTCTTTCTGGGTTATTAGGGTTATTTAAATATTATATATAATTATATTGCTATTCTAACAACTACGGCGTTTCTATCGGTATGACTTGTCTTCCATCGGAATGCTGAGGATGTTTAACTAGTACATATATTTATCACAGATGACCTATTGGATAATTCAATTGTTCCTCATGAATGACTCAACCTTTTGGTGGGAAAGTGAAATTTTCACTTCCCTCCAAAACATTTGGAGTAAGTGCTTTGGAGGGCAAATAGATGAATCCCACATTAATTGTTGGAGATTCTTCATGGATTTATCTTCTCCTATAAAGAGAGGAAGAACTCCATTCTCCACTCAAAGTCTCAAAAAATTCACTTAAAGAGGAAGTTTACATAATGAGAATTTCAAACATTGTTACATAAAGGAGGGAGACGACGTTCATATGTGCAAACATTGTTTTGAATGTACTTTGCTCCTAATATTTATTCAAAATCTCAATTTTTAATAGAAATTGAGATATTGGGACTTTAGTTCATTGGAACAAAACCCACGTTTGAACATGACTTGCTCTTAGTACTTTGGTAGAAACTCAAAATCGAGATACGAGCACTTTGACAGAAATTTCAAAAAATCTCAGAATCGAGATACTGAGAGTTGAGTACGTTTGAACGTGATAATTTCGTTCAAACGTAATAGGTATTTTGTTTGAAATTAATCTTTAATGACTATATTTTTGCGGCCCTTTCAAGGTGTCTTATGTCATAGTTTTGAAGGATTACACTCTTTCATTAAGAGATGTATAGAACACTATAAATGGGTTCAAGTGCATGAACAAAGTATCAAGAATTTAATCCTTTTTTTTTCTCCTTGATTCAAAAATTATATATTTTCTGATTTTTTATTTGAGTTGAGTTTTGATTCCAAGATTATTAAGAAATGCAGTATTTGATAATCTTAAAGTTAGACATTTTATCTTGGAGATAGAATTTTCAAAAATTCATCTGCATTATAAGTGAAAAAATTACTATTTCAAAGATAACAAGAGTTGTACCTTACCTAACAATCTATCTTCTTTGGTTTTTAATTCATTGTTTTTCTATTATTTGAAATTGTTTTACCCCACCGTATTCCACAACATATCGAGCGACACTTTCACTATGATCCGCTTGCTTTATTTGAACAGGATCGATAGTCGTAACTAGCCTAGTCCAAAAAATAGGATTTTGTCGAACGCTAGAACTTAACTTTCACCGCTTAAAAATACCGCTATCCGAAAAAAGCTTTATCTAATTAGTCAAGAAATCCTCCCTTAAGCCGAAACGGCTTTTCGGAAAAAAGGAAAGGAAAAGAAAAGGAACATATAACAAAGGACTGCCCTCCTGGTTCTGGAACAGGCTCTTGCTCTAGCTTTGTCCAATGCTCGAAATGGTGAATTCATCAATTCCGAAACTAGCTAACCCGAAAGCCAATCACGGAATTTTCTCTGATAAATGATTCACAGAATGTATAGCATGTTCGAATGCAAACACAAATTCTCAAAAAAAAATAAAAAATCAATAAAACCAAATCTTATAATGCCTGAACACCAGTAAAACATGCTGCAGAGATGATAAACATGTTGCTAGAAAATTGCATACTCAGAGCTACATTCTCATAAGGCTCAGAAAACCTCACAAAATTTCGTATCATGGACAAAATTTAATGGTTATCAAGCACACTCATGGGACTGCAAGATATTAGAAGCTCAGCCACAATGAGATGACCTAAATGAGTAATCAAACAAGGCGAGGATCATCTAATCGATATGGACATCACAAAGTAAAGATTCAGAGGTCATCCTCTAATTTGTCTTTAGTTAGTATGTAAAATCTACCAGTAGTTTATGCATTATGTCAAATGAACATCCCTTCATAATTGTTACAAACCCAAAACAGATTCATGATGATCAAGCTGAGTTTTCGGTTGTAGGCTGCAAGAAGAAGGATGAGGCAAATAAAACTTTAACACTAGTTAGTATCTACTCTCAGCAACAAATCTTGTATTGCGATGCCCAGTCATGTATAAAACTCAAAAACACATGGAACTAAGTTCTTTACGCAACATATTAACTGCAGTCATAATTTATTATATGTAGCAATCAAAGACTCCACTACCCAGAAATGAAAAGCTTTGAGCCCATGCTTGATCAAGCTACCACAGAAAACCTGGCAGTTCGTTTTCTGTAGTTTCTCTAGCTTTCACCAATTTTTAACCACTGCCCAGCACGCAGCTGCAATCAGACAGTGAAATATGAACCTCAAACAGAGGTAAAGACGCTTCATTTCAAGAAATAGATGTTCATCAGAAAGCGTCGGGGGAGAAAAACAAAGTAATGGCTAAAAATTACATACCTTAAAATGCTTAAATGCGTTATTCTATCAGATTCTTGAGCATCGATATGGCGAAGAGTAAGAATACATCAATTGTATACAATGCCTTGAATTTTTTAAATGCGTTATGCTTTTATCAGATTCTTGAACATCAATATGGCAAAGAGTAAGAATAGATCAATTGTATAGAATGCCTCGGATTTTTTAAACAAAAATCATAAAGAATGGGGCTCTGCCAGTGAGCTCTGTGTACCGATAATAAGTATTAACTCTAATCCATCGAATCAAAACTTGGAGCATACCACTCTAACTGGTCGACGATCTTCTTCATTCTTTCTTCTTGTCCCTTTGAATCCCCCAAAGCTGTGGTGAAGGGGTACACATAGGTTACTTTGGTGGCCATAGATCTATATGTGACCACGTCTCTTTTCACCAAAAATTCTAGCACGTCTCGGCCAAATCCTCCATCAACCTCAGCTTGCAGATATTGGCCTAGATTTTTTTTTCCCCATCATCAGTACATATATAGCAAAATGATTACTAACCAATGCTCCAAACTGATGCTCTTCCTATGATCCTAAACAAGTCTCCCACTAGTACTTTCAAATATGGCAAAACTGAACATATATACGAGGCCTAAACCGATTAGTACTTTGCCTTCTATCTTTATGTCAATCCACTATTTTTCATTGTCACTTCACAGGGGTTGAGATTTAGGGGTGGCAATTTCGGATATAACACAAAAACACGACTCGAACTCAGACATGACACAATTGCCACCCCTATTGAGGTTCTGCATCTGCCTATTTGTTTGAAAAATAATCAATATTTGTTTGCTATGTGTGCAAATGCTATCAATATCACATTTTCTGGATGTAATTAAATCTAATTACCATCTGGTGTGTCTTCGACTAGCTGAATCTTGGCATTTTTCTGTGTTTTCAGAATTGCTTCCTGCAGTTTCTGCAACCAAAAAAAAAATACAAACTAACTAATTACATGTCTTGCACAACCAAAATATAACTCAAAATACAAACAAAAACTATGAATACCTCCATACCTGAATTGCATTATCTGAATAATTCTCAGGAATCACCCATGGGAATGCGAAAGATGACGACTGGGGATTAGTAGATACACAACCCGGATTAATAGACGGGCAAGGTCTGATTTTGCTGCAAAAAACAGAGCATTGTGTGAAATTAATTGCCAATAAACCATAAAACGAAGGCACATTAGGACCTAAATAGCAATAATAAGATAAACCCATCAAAGAAAATTGGATTGAGTGAGTACCCATTTTCCAATCCGGTAGTTAAGTTCTTGGATTCAGAGAATGGGTTGTGGGAGGTAGTAAAGGGGGCTGAGAGTTCAGAGATGGGATTGCTGAAGAAGGAAATGGAGAAGATAAAGTTGCAGCAACAGCTAGGGAGAGTAAATTGGACCAAAAAAATGGTTTTGTATTAGGGTTTTTTTGACTAGAAATCACCAAAGTTTGACGAGGACAAGAGGTTGTGGGTTTTGTGATGCTTGAGTAGTTTCTGTAGATTAGGGGAAATGGAGGGAGAATGTGGACACTCAAACTCATAGTTGTTATCCTCTCCCTTCTTGCTTGGACATGAGCCTGTGGAGTGAATTCTAACTCGTCACTAGCAAATTTAGACAAATTATATTTTCCCCTTGAAAAATTCTGTCTTTTCGTTATTCTGCCCTTAAAAGATTGAAAATTCTATATTATCCTTCTATATTATCCCATGTTTGTTTGCCGGATAGCACATAAAGCTATTGGCGAAAGCGATCCATTCCAAACCAATTCTATGGCAAAATAGTATTGGTGTTAAATATAAATCCAATACCACCTCTTGTTTGTGTAAGTATCAATCAATAGATTAAGTGGAACCTACCACAAAAATAAATGTTAAGTGATTATTTGTATGCAAAAAGATAATTTTATCATTATTCTATTCCAATCTATAGACTTTTATATGGACATTATTATGAACATTTTATATCTTATACCCATCAATGGGAATAATATCCCTCCATTTATACCACCCACTAGGTGGCATTTAACGTACCCATGTACATGATTTTATTGCTACTAAATACCACTCATTTAGTTAATTCTTACCCAGTTAATATTTGGCATCATGATGCCTCTTACTACTTATTTGTCCTTGTTGACATCTTAGAGGTAATACCCTAACAATCCCGCAATACACATAATATACAATATGTAAAACATATAAATTTATTATTTTGTTTTGTTTACGCTGTAATTGCACAAATATTATGTAAGTTTGCCGCTTTTAAAGTTTCACTATAATTTGAGGAATTAATTTTAGTTGTCCAAGGAGTGTCACATGTTGTGATTTAGTCTCTATTTCAAAATATTTGCAACTCATGATTTGATGATATTTGAACTATAATTTAGTAATTATTCGATTAAGATTTTATTAAAACACTTCTCTAACATAATTTATGCCACAAAGAAAAGTAATGATGAAATTTGTAACACACATATGTAAACTAGCAAGGACTATTATTAGTAACATTTCTTGTCAACTAGAGGATATATGTGATTAAGTTCCTCCGTAAGGACTTACTGCTGAACCAAAAAAATCGATATTGTACCTCTAAAATTTATTATTTTAAATGGTATTTTTATAATTTTTATAGGTAATTTTATAATTAAAAAATTTATTATTTTTATGAGTATTTTTATAATTATTATAGGTTTATTTACCACTATTGTGATAATTATTTTTATCATTTTTCTTCGGTACAAAAAAAAATATCACTTTTTATGGGTGATTTATTAGTTTTGTGAGTCCTTTTACTATTGTTGTGAGTCTTTTTATTACTATTGTGATAATAATTTTTATCACTTTTTTTGAGATTATAACAGTAATAAAAACACAAATAACGTAATAAAAATGTCTATAACTATTATAAATATTAATACGGTACAAAAAAATATTTTTTTGTACCCTAAACAACTACTAAGAAGGATAGTGGCATATAGAGAATACTAATTGTAATACTAGATAGATATTAGGCGGGTAGTGGGTTCACAATGTTTTTATCCACACATAATAAAATTGGAATGATACGACGAAGGTAGCATATGCTTGGGTAAGATTTTTTCTTCCCAAACTTGGAACAAGTTAAGGGTGTAATGTGAGTAAAGATAAATATAGGAGATAAAGTAACATTGATAGAAATACTTAGGGTACAAAGTGTAAATAATCCTTCCCTGGCGATTTCACTAGCTTCTATGACAAATTAGGGTTTTAGCTCATCAACCGAAACCAAAATTCGTCCGATTGAGCACTTCAGAAATAAATTATTTTCACTTTTCCCCCAAAATCTTTTGAATCGATGGAAGATAAAGGCGCAATCACGAACCCTAAAAGCACACAAGATCTAGCAATGGATGGTCAGAAGCATTTGGAAGACACAATCGAAGCAGCTTTCCAAATCCTCTGTTCCATGAACGACGAGCTCTGCAACCCAGCCCTGTGGTCCACAACTGCTTCTTCTACTGCTGCTACTACCACTTCTACTAATGCTACTAGCTCTGCTGTGAGCAATGGACATCACCATGCTTCTCACTCCTCAAACGGCGACGTTTCGTCTGATTCTTCGCACCACTTCGAGATGGGCGGTGGAGCTCTCGACGAGGCTCGTCTCCGCTACAAGTCTTCCATTGCAGCTCTCCGAGCGGTTATCAGTGCGATTCCCAATTCTCAGAAGGTGGAATTTTCAAAACCCTAGCCTTATTCACTTTCTTTTACAATTAGGTCGCATTTTTTTTGCTTTTTACACCTGAATTTTGATTATTAATCTTTTTTATCTGGCATTTTGTAACGCGTCGAATTGGTGCAGTAGGCTGTCTGTTTATAAAATTTGGTTGGAATTCATTGCGGAACGTTGGGTGATATAACTTTTGCTGCTTACTAGCATTTTATTTTGCGTTTAGGTTTTATAGATTTGAACATTCTGGGAATTGACACTCTTGAAAATATAAACTGGACAGAAAATAGTCTTGAAAATGCTTGGTTTTTTACCTGGATTTATGTATGATTTGTTTGGAAGTTTCAATATGAGAGAGCCATTCCAAGTAGTATAAAATCAGAATTACTACAATCCCTTTTAGAAAAAGGGATGTTAACTAACAAAAGAAAGATGGAACCATATGCATTCTTAAAAGAAAGTGCTTTGTCTTTCCTATAATGCATGGAATAATGGACTTAGATCACCTTTTTCTTCCTCATTCTAATTTGATTTTTGTATTATGGATCTTGGTTTGTCCTTGATTATATATATCATAAAGATAAGGCAAGGCCCCCTCTCAGCAATGGAACATGGGAGGGGGAGTGGGAAGTAACCACCTTTTTTTGACTTTTAGTTCGGCTTTTCTACCTAGAGGAGAAAGCGACAGATACATGGGCAAACCTATCCTGCCCATGTATTCATGTAGAACTCGACATACAGGAGGTTTCCCATCAATTTGACAACTCCTAGTTGAAGACGAATGCCATGGAAGTGTAGGAATAGGGAGAACACTTATCTAGGAAGCTGTTGCAGCTAATTAAGACATTCAAGCAAGGTTTAAAGGATATTGGAACTGTACGATTGATCTTCTATGGTAAAACAATTCAAGTGATTGATCTGTTATGTGCTGGTCGTGGATAAATACAAGGTGCTGGACTTATTCTCCAATTTAAGTGAGATGAGGATAGTTTGATGCTTCTATTTTTACTTTTCAATTGTATGTCTTGTATGAATTGTGTTTTTGGAGTATATTTCTTTTCTATGTTAATTGTGGAGAAAGTCCTTTTACTGTTCATTTGTATTTTTGAATAGGTAATTCAGTTCGTATTCTCAACCGTTTGGTATACTAATGAAACTTCGGGTTGATAAATAATATTTTCGCATAGCCAAAGATGTTGCAGTCTTCGATATGTTCATATATCTCAACAATCTGCAATTGCTTTCCTAAATTTTGAATTGTCGTGCTACTCTGCATAAAATCTTGGCTACTATAAGATATGAAGAGATTTTTTCAATAACTTTATCTACCCCTTGTATTCTTCATCTTTAAATAGGTAAAAGCATACGAAATAGGCCCAGCAACAAGCAGTTCTTCAGTGGATCATGCTGAAATTGAGAAGCTGGAAGAGCGAGCCTCTGCTTTAAGAAAGGTATTTCTTAATTTCTTTTCCTTCTTCAATAAAAAAGATACATGTGGTAAATCTTATGGCTTCTAGGTTCTACAGTTTGGTATTTTCCTGACTTGGAATTGTCGGAAGATGTTGCTTTTTGAGTTTTGGATGGTGGAGCATTGGGGTTTACATGTGGTTTGAAAAATATTGCCCCTCCTTTTGAGAGGTAGTACCATAGTAGTGCTGCTGTTCGAGCTGAGATAGACTACAAGAAGAGGGAGAAAAAAAGAAGGAAAAGATGAGAAGGAAAACCTTCAACGGTATAACATTCTACTGGGAGCATTGTCCATTTAAAAGCCCTTTCTATCTTGGGTCTCTAACCGATTGCATCTATGAATTTTAGTCTTAGTCCTAAAAGGATGTATTGTACTTTGATTTTTTTTTTTTTGCTGAAAGTATTTACTGATTGTATGTTTTTTGAATTGAAGGAGCTCACAAATCGAAACGATTATCTCAAAGTTCTTATTGATCAGCTTCGCGACCTCATAACCGACATATCAACATGGCAAAGTCCTTGTTCTGTTTGAGGTTCAGATGTCTTTAATGATTCCTGAAATAGAGGCTTGAGTCCAAGAATTTCATCTAGGTAATTATGTTTCATTTCATAATTTCTTCAAACATGCGAAATGTGTGTCTATTGGTAAACGCCAAAATGGTTTGAATGCCTTATTTTGTTAAATAGTGTAGATGATCACCTGATGAAATGTTTGTCCAAATATATAGTAGATGAGAAGAATGTGTTTTTTATTGTCATTTGAATGACAATATGTTGATTAATTCTCAGCTAACATCATACAAGCTTCAATGAATTACATTTCTTCTGGCCGATGAATGATTTTGAATTGTTCAGGGTATCCAGTAAAATTTAATTATTGAGAATCGACAACTAGATGTTTCATCTCCATTTAGTACTTGATTATGGTATCCAAAAAATAATTCGGTACCGTACTTTTAAAATTTATTATTTTAATGTGTTTTTACAATTTTTGTGGGTCATTTTACAATTTAAAATTTTACTATTTTTGTTGGTGTTTTTACCGCTATTGTGATTGTTATTTTTACCATTTTTTTGCGGTACTACAACAATGATAAAAATGCTTATAATACTAATAAAAATATTCACAAATATAGTAGGTACCATAGCAATGGTAAAACTTCCACAATAGTAATAAAAATACTAATAAATATTAGTATAGTACCAGAAGGTTTTTTAGGGTACAATAGACAACTCCCTCTATTTATTGTGATCTGGATCTGTTGCGAGAAGATATTTAATGTAACGGTTGCATTATGTCATGTAGTGTAATTGATCAATTATGAAAAATTATGTAGGACTAGTGGTTTTTATTAAATTTTTAGTCATTGTGCGTGTTTGAAGACATTATAGAACAAATAAAAAAATCTTAAATAATTTTTCAAACTCAAAAGGAAAGGCTTAAAAATATTTGTCCACCATATTCTCTATATTAATGGAACTGTCATAAAAATATATAAAAATTTTGTAAAATAATATTATATATACAAATGTCCCTAGAAAAAAAAAATATTAACATAACTCATTGAAATTTATTATTTTTAAGTAATAAATAAAATTTTACTTATTTATAAGACTCACAAATTTATTACTTTTATTACGACTCAATCCAATAATATATAATAATTATAAACTCAACTATCATATTTTCAATCTACTCTATCCCCTTTAAATAAATATCTAAAGCCAAAAAAAAAAAAATACTAACAGAGTACAATCTTGCTCCCCAAATGACACAATACAATTATAAATGGGTAATATTTAGTTGATTTTATTAGAAATACAATAATTCAAGTTTTTAAGATAAAATAATAATAAATTAATATCACAGACATCCTTGTGTTTTGGCAATATTACACATACACCTTTTAATATTTTATAAATAATACAAAGACCCTCTAATGTTTGAAATTTATTACACTCCGTTCTGTCAATGTTACAAACGAAAATAAATATTTTCATCTCAAAAATTTTATTATTTTTACAATTGCCCTTCTACAAATGTAGTCCCAAACAAATTAAAATTTTAATAAAATCAAATAAAATTTGATTTTGTACCAAAAATATTGATTAAATAAATTTCAATATTAATTTGACAAAGTTCAATAAAAATTGGACAAAATTAAATTTCAATTTTTGATAAAATTAAATACTAATTTACAATCTAAAGTTCATTTCATGTTTAATATTATTTAGTGTTTATAGTCAATGTGATATTTTTATTTACATTAAGTGTTATTTACAAATTAAGAAGTAAGTGACAACATACATGCCGTCAAATATATACAAATTTTGAATTAATTTCATGAAATAAATAATTATATAACATGTAATTTCATCTGTTTTATGAAGTAAATAATAACAAAAATAACACATAGGAAACAAAAAAGATAATTGTATGAGAGAGAGAGAGAGAGAGAGAGAGAGAGAGAGAGAGAATAGATAGATAAAGTTATATAAGCGATGAGAGTTTTAGAATTGTAAAAAAGTGAAAGTCTAATTAGAACTATTTGATCAAAGCGATCTAAACCGTAAAAAGTTCAAGATATACCATCTAATTACTTTATTATATATATAATGACCAATAACTTTCACATTTAAAACTATTAGGTAAGATCAGTGAGGTTTACTTATCTTATTTGTTT